ATGGTGCAGGTAGTCAAAAAAGGGCTTGGTCCACTTTGGAGGGGCCGATATTGTATTAACCTTTTGGTTGTCGATACTTCTTTCTGGGAGTACTTCAACCAACACACTTTCTTCGTGAGGTGGTCGTACGAAGTAGAGGCCAGCTTGTTGAGAGCGTCCGCCCTTGCGTTTTTCCCCCGGGAGATTTGTATTATTAAAAAACTTTTAAATGTGTTGGCTAAGCTACAGACTGCATCTAGGTATTTCTGCATCCTGGGGTCCTTTGCCTCGTACGTCCCAATATTTGGTTCGTGAAAAGTAGTAAATCGCTGAGAGCCGCTAGTTGTTTCGCGCCAACCTCCTTGGCTAGCCTCAGACCTGCTAAGAGCGCTTCATACTCTGCCTCATTGTTTGATACCTGGAAATCAAATCGCAGCGCGTAAGTGATTTCTTCGCCCTTGGGGCTTTGTAGGATCAGGCCTGCGCCTTAACCTTCCTTGCTTGTTGCGCCGTCGGTATCAGTTTCCAGAGTTCTTTGTTAGATTCAGGCTCGAGTGGATCGACGGAAATCGTCGTTGGTTCTCCCTTAATGGTATATGGAATTTCGACCAGGAAGTCTGCGAGGGCCTGGGCCTTGATGCTAGTCTGGGGGTGATAATGGATATCATTCTCACCTAACTCTATAGCCCATTTGGCTAGGCGCCCGGACTTTTCCGGCCTTAGCAGTACTTGCTTTATTGGGTAACTGGTCAGAACATCCACCTTGTGGACTTGAAAATACCCCCGTAGTCGCCTGATGACATATACCAGGGCGAGGACTAGTTTTTCCAAGGCCGGGTAATTCACCTCCGCGCCTTGTAGGGCCCTGCTAACAAAGTGGACGGGAACCTGTCTGCCGTCCCTCTCCACTGCTAACACCAAGGAGATAGCTTCTTTGGAGGCGGCTAGATACATCTGTAGTGTTTCCCCTGGCAGCGGGCAGGCGATAGTCGGTAGTTGCTGCAGGGTGTCTTTGAGTTGTTGCAATGCCACATCCGCTTTGTCTGTCCACTTGAACTGTTTCTTGTCTATGCACGCTTTAAGTGTTTGATATATGGGGAGTGCTTTTTCTGTGGATTTGGCGATGAATCTTCCCAATGTCGTCGGTCTACCGTTGATCTCCTGCACCCCCTTGAGGTTGTGCAGAGTTTTCGACTCAAGGAACTCCTTGATTTTGGTGGGATTGGGTAGAATTACTTCCTTGGATATTTGGTACCCGAGGAATTTCCCTTCCTCAACTCCGAAGGTGCACTTAGTTGGGTTTAACTTCATCTTCGCTTTGGCTATCGTCTGGAAAGTTTCTTCCACATCGCGGAGCAGTTCTTCTTCATTGCGGCTCTTAATTACCATGTCATCGACATAGAATTCAATGTTCCTACCTATTTGGTCATCGAATACTTTGTCCATGAGCCTTTGGTAAGTAGCACCCGCGTTTTTGAGTCCAAACGACATTTTCTGGTAGCAGAAGGTCCCTTTTTCGGTGTGGAATGTAGTTTTTGCTTCGTCCTCTCGTTTCATCTGTACTTGATGGTAACCCTTGTATGCGTCGAGGAAACACTTGAGCTGAAAACCTTCGAGCGATTGGACCTTCTGATCAATCTCTGGGGGAGGGTAACAATCCTTTGGGAAGGCATTGTTAAGGTCCGAGTAATCGATACACATTAGCCATGACCCATTGGCTTTCTTTACCATGACAGGATTTTCTATCCATGTTGGGAACACTACTTCCCTAAGTATGTCGGCGTTCACTAGATCGGCCACTTCTGCATTTATCGCCTTGTTTCGTTCTGCTGCATGGCCTCTCTTTTTTTGTTTAACAGGGGTGCTTCCGGGCGTGATATTGAGGTTGTGTTCTATGATCTGTCGATCAACGCCTGTCAGATCTGTTGGTTTCCAGGCGAAAACGGTGGAGTATTGCTTTAGGAGTGCTACTAGTCGTGCCCTGGTCTCGTCTGATAGGTGAGCGCCGACTCGCACGAGCTGTTCTGGATATTCCATGTTTATCTGGTGTTGTTCGGTGGAACATCCTTCCTTGGACTTATTTGGTGCACGTACGAGCTCTGGGGCGGCTATGATATGGTGGCAATGTTGTTCCTTGGCGTTTGTGGCGAGGACCGTCGTTGATCCATGGCGTGTGCTAAATTTAACGATGTTGTGGATCGTCAACGGTACAAGGTGTAGTAAAGAGATTGTCGATCGTCCGAGCAAAATATTGTGTTCTGCTAGATACCGGATCATAGAGAATTCGATCGTTATTGTGACTCGGTATTTCTCGTCGTGACTGACCAACGTTAAGGGCAGTCGAATAGTACCTAATGGTCACAAGTTGTACCCAGTGAATCCGACCAATGGTCCACCGGTTGGGGGCCATAGCCCCTCCTTCCACGCATCTGGTAGTTGTCGGAAACAGTGCTCATAGAGTATATCAGAGCAACTACCATTGTCGGTGTATATTCGATGAACCTTCGTGTTGCGAATGAACCCAGATATAAAGAGTGGGTCTCGCGGATCCCAGTTCAAAGGTCTAGGATCGCTGCTCGAGAAACTAATATTGAGTAGGTTTCTCAAGAACGCCTCAATCTCGTCTTCTGCGTAATGAGGTATGCTCCTCTTATGAGAGTTAGAGATGGTGAGCACCTGTTTGCCATCATATGGATTTGTCTGCAATAGATCGGGATGCGATATCACCATCTGAGACAGCGGAACATCCGACAGCGATTGCCGGGAATTGCTCTGGAGTACTGGTTCTGTTATTTCTACCGCAATCGGCGGGACCTGTGCCATTAGCACCTGTATTGGGGCCTGTGTTTTATACTCGCGATGATGGTCGTTGTTGAACGTCACCGGTATTTTGAATAGGTATTCTACTGCTGTCCCCGATGTTGTTGGGTGTAGATCCCCTTTTTGCAAAGAACCAGGGTCGTTTATTGGCTGTATCACTCTGAGGATATGTTCGGATGACGCCAAATGTTGTGACATGTTCAACAGGGGTATGGATGCAGGAAGATAGATTTTCCTTGAGAGTTTTCCTGAGAACACAACACAAAGAAGAATCGTTAAAGGACGTCCGGGTGTTCTCCCCAGACGTCGCTCCGACGATCAAGTTAGTTTTCTGAGAGGGTTAATTTTAGGGTAAAGTTTGCGAGAGAGAAGATGGATCCCTTCCTTAAGGCGGAAGAGATCATTTTATACCTGCCTCTAACGGATCATGGGGACCTCGTCCGCTCAGCGTGAAACGTGGCCTCCACTAACTGGGAGGATCACGCCCAGGATGGCTAACTGTCTGGTGCCGTCAGTTCTGGGCGTCACCTAAGCTTTCTGTCACGTCCTGATTGGTCGTGAGTGAATGAAAAGATTGCGGGGGAGATTCGTCCCTCGTGGAGGGAAACGAACTGCCGCCCTGGTGTTAGACTGCCTTGGCCAAGACCGGGCCTTGGCCAAAGTCCTGATGAGATAACGTCTCATTTATGATGTCTGTTACATTTAACGGGACCATTTGTGGTAACGTTAACATATATATATATATATATATATATATATATATATATATATATATATATATATTATATATATATATATATATATATATATATATATATCTATATATTATATATAGGGATGACAATCGGTACGAGTATATCGGGTTTCGTGTTCCCCATCCCCATACCCGACCCCATCCCCATCGGGGATAAAAAATCTAGCCCCATCCTCATCCCCAATGGGGAACGGGGATCACCAATGGGTAATCGGGGATTTTTCCTCGTTACAAAGTTTTGGACTATTATGAAAAATAACGCATAATTATATATTACCCAACAAAACAAAAACTAAGAGAAATAATATAAAGCACTATAATCACTGAATGCCTTCAAACACGAACAATAATATTCAAGTTTACAGATTAAACAAATTTTTTGCAAAAAAAAAAAAAAAAAAAAAAAAAATGTAAAAAATCTTCCAAAAATTACATGTTTGATTGTTAGAAAACCTTACTTTGTCAATTGAACTTCCGCTTATGCATAATGATTTATGAATTGATTAAAAATAAAAACATAAATAATTATATATATATATATATATATATATATATATATATATATATATATATATATATATATTGGGTACCCATCAAGGTCGATTTTCGGGTACGGGTATGGGTACCCGACAGGTAGAACCATCCCCATCCCCATCCCCATCCCCGCTTTTTTCATTCGGGTAATAACCATCCCCGTCCCCGTCTCCGGTCAACTCAGGTTAGGGTTTCGGGTACCCATCGGGTGCGAGTTTTTACATATGCCAACTATATATATATATATATATATATATATATATATATATATATATATATATATATATATGGGAAAGGTGAATATACCCTAAAGGGTATATAACATTAGGTACCCCAAATACTAAACTACGTCGTTTAACAACAAATAACTTCACAAGCTTTTCTCCTTTGCCTCTCTGATCGTCATGCGTAGTCCCCCGTCCCTCTATCAAAATTAGATTTTGTCATTCTCCTTTTTGACCTCCCAAAACTTCATAAGTCGTGATAATACTGATCCAAAACAAATTGATTTCATGCAGTTCTTTGGTTGGAGTTTTATTTTATGAGATTTGATGCACATGCCGACCATAACCTAGCGACAGTCAACAAATTTGGGAAGCACTTGATTGGTTTCACAATCCTCATGGATCAAACTACATCAATGTTGTTTTATCTACACATAAGTCTCATGGTTTTTCACATTGTTGGACGATTTTGCCCTTGTCTCAAAGATGGTAGGGTCAAAAAATGAAATTATGCTGTAATTTTGGGTTAAAATGAAAGAAGCATTCAACAACATTAATGCAACAAACATTTATTGTTTAGCATTTAATCAAGTTTGACCATTCCAAAATATTTTGAACATTCCAAAATATTAAAAATACTCATATCATAAAACTAGTCTTAGAATACTTAGTTTTAAACAAGACGAAAATTAAAGTTCAGCACATAAGAACACTCTTTTCTCATTCCCTATTTGATTCACACTGCAATCAACTCGTTGAGTTCGATTCCCCACCATTAATCCATCATTCAATCCTCCCCTTCCTTGATAAGAACCATTACTAAACATCATTTGTCCTTTACCAAAAGAACCCATATGGCTTCCATTATGCATGACTGGACTCATGAATGATCTCTCTGACATGTCAAGAGGTATGCCAACTAGTGCAGAGCCTACAAGATGATGTGGTGGTCCAAAGAATGCATCATGCTGACTAGGACTAAACGGGCCCACCAGAGATGCATGCCAAGAATTACTTTGGTGGTCAGAATAAGTAGTTGGACTACCCCAAAGAAACTCAGGGCCAGATAGGGTACCAATACTAGAAGAAGGTTCAAATTTAGAATCAAAAAAAGATGATGTGTTATGATCAGGGAAAGATCTTGATTCTTGATCTTTACCAATTGGTGAAATTTTCATGGGGTTTGATATATATGGTGTAAGTATGGATGCAAGACCATGTAAAGGGGTGGTGTTAATAGGGCTAATGGTTCCAAAAACTAATGACCAATTACCTGCCATGTGGCATTGGCAAATGGAAAAAAAATTAATAATAAAAATAAGGTCTTAATGTTAACAGTATAAAATTTTGAAATAATAACCAGGTGGAGAGTTGATGACTGGTGAACCAACATGATGCCATAAAGCTCGAGCTTCATCTTGTTCTAGTTCTTGACTAGTTGTTGCATCATGCTACATAAATGTAAAATGTCGACTTTAGTCCCTCATGAATTCCTTTTTAACTATTGAAGTCCCTCCACTTTACACAATTGATATATACATACCTTCTACGAGCACCACCAGGCCTACTCTGTTCAAATTTTATCCTTTTTCCAGCTATTTCACTGCCTTTTAGAGCTTTCAGTGCCACCTCAGCAGCTCTACAATCGTAAAATCCAATAAACCTATAGTGTCTCTTATTTGGTGTTTTCCTGATCTATTTTTTTTCATACAAAAAAGTCAAAAAATTTATTACTTTGTATAGTAATAAGCAAAACCAATTGAGCAATACTGCTTGTGAGTTGTGACACCATTGATTATGGGATTCCCTGATATTGAGTTTCTCTCAGGCATTTCATCAAGCACCTTATGTGCACAACTTATATTCTTCCCTTACTACCCATTTAAATGAGTAAAGTACCATACGTGAGCAATATACACAATCAAAACTATTTGGCCATTTGAATATCAATGCAGGTTTGGGAATGTTTGTAACCAAAATGATATGCAATCAACTAGAGGTGTTCTTGTTGTGATTTTGGATCGATTTCAGCTACTGAAGTAAAGGGACAACGATTGTTTTCCAATTTAGAGAAAACACCATTTAAAAAGTGTAGAGGGGCTGTAAAACAACAACAATCGGCTAGGTCAGCAACAGGTGGAGACCGTCGACACATTGATTCTAATTCACGTTTGATATGGCCAATTGGTCGTATAATCAATTGATATCAATTGATCAGTAAAATCGTTTAGCAAGAAGTACAATCGACAAGGCCAGTGACTAAATCAATGGAGATTCGAGATTGAAGGACTCAGTTCGATAGAGTGCTTCAGTTTGCTCAAATAGGAAGGCACCTCTGTACTTGCCGATCGATTTTATTTCCACCGTATTATTAATTCTTGTATGAGATTCAAACATTATATTATATATCGGGTATATTTACTTTTCCATATATATGTATCTTCAATTTCAACTAATTATTAATAACCATTCAACTAATTATTAATTCTTGTATGAGATTCAAACCTCTGTGTCTCTTCAATTTCAACTAAGTATTAATAATCATTCAAATTTTTTTGTAACTTATGATATTTAACGGTACTTATGACACAATTTATTATATATATATATATATATATATATATTATATATATATATATATATATATATATATATTAGGTTATTCTATTCTAACTAATATTGTGCGGATATCGTATGCTATGAGAATGATAAGAAAATATGTTGTTTGATAATATAAATACGTTCAATCTTACACTATTGTCATTAACACACATTCTCACTAATTAAATCGTCTATAAGGTTATTATACACTTATTATTATTATTCTCATTTCTGTCAGAATGTTTGTTGGGTCGTATTCTGTCAGAATAAAAATGAGTGAAAAACGATGTGTGAGAACAAAAATAAATAATAATTAGCAAGAATGCATGAAAATGACGATATTTTTGTAAGGTTGAACGTATTCGCATTGCTAAACAACTTATTCTCTTATTATTCTCATAGCATACGATATCCGCACAATAATTAGTTAGAATACTTGAACCTAGCTCTCTCTCTCTCTCTCTCTAGACATTATATATATATTATAGATATATATATTATATATAATATATATCTATTATATATATAAATTGTGTCATAAGTACCATTAAGTATCATAAGTTACAAAAAAAATTGAATGCTTATTAATAATTAGTTGAAATTGAAGAGACATAGAGGTTTCAAATGTATATGATGCAAGAAAAAAAATGTTTCTTTTATAGGATATACTAGACGAATTCCTGCGCGTTGTGCGGCGCAGGTTAAAAATATATTATTAGAATATTGAAAAATATATGTTTATAATGGTTATGTTATTGACATTAACTTTGACATACTAAATTTACACTCATTATATATATATATATATATATATATATATATATATTATATATATAATCTCAACTATTTTGGACAATTATATTCATTGTGTTAGAAATATATAACAATCTGATTACCACGAATAAAAGGCTCGGTTACCAGTTACTGGGTGACAGATATATATATTTAATGAGATTAGATGCGGAAAGATAAGAAGTGCAGAATAAATAAATACTGGAAAGTTATAAATGACTGAAAGCTATAAATGAAATAAATGACAGTATTTAAATGACATAAAGCGTTAATAAAATATAAAATATATATATTATAATATCGTACGTGGTGTTAGAACGGGACTTGTGGAACGACTGTTTTGTCAAGTTGTTAGTCAAATAAATGACTAACAGGCTTAGGGTTGGACTGGATCTTAATAGACTGTGTCTCTATTTGTTCAAAGTTCAATCCGGTAAGTAACAATAAGTTCTTTTTATGTAACAATGAATTGTTTACAAAACGATACAAAATACACGGGTAATTTTTTTTGTATGTGGGTATGGGGTTTTTTAAGGTGATTTGATGAGGTTGAAGTGGGTATTTGGAGGGTGGTAGAAGGTGTAATAAGGTTGTAGTTTTGGTTGTATAAGGTAACAAAGAGGGTGATGTTGAAAGAGCTTTAGGTGGTTACAAATATAGATTTTCGTAGTAAATCTCTCTGGATAGCCAATTCTCTCTCGCGTCTCTCTGGGGTTTGCAGTGGTCAAAAAAATCGAGGAAAATTCCTAGATGTAGGTAAGGTCCTGAATAATTTGCGTTACAAATCTCTCCCGTATTATCTTGTTGAGTTGTGCTCGGTGAATTTTTTCTTAACTTGCAAATTCTGAAGTCGAAAATCAGCAAGGTGATGATGGTTGTGGTGATTTGAAAGGGTTTTTGGAGGAGGTTTAAGGAGGGTATTTGGAGGGTGTTTGGAGATTATTTTGAGGTTGGTTATGTTTTTATTCTTCTGGAGTTGAGTGAGTAATAGGAGATATATTACAAGGAAACACAAAACACACACAAAAACTCATGTAAACATGCATCTATATATATGCAAAGGAATCAAGCAACTCTGTTTGTTTAAGGAAAAGTAATGAAGTGATTGATGTAAAGGGGGGAAGCACACATGATGTTTGATACTTTTGCTTTTGTGAAGATTTCTTTCTAATATAATTATATATTATATATATATGCAGATTCATGATATATATATATATCTTATATATATAGATATATACTATATACATACTATATATATATATATATATATCAATATATACATATACATGATATATATATATATTAGATATATATATATATACAATATAACAATACATCATATATATTTATATAATTATATATATAATATATATATATATATATATATATCTATATAACACGAACACTTGTCTATATATTATATATCCAATTGTGAATTGAATTTCCATTTTTGACCCTTGAGGTTTTTAAATTCTTGACAATTTTAGTCTTGATTTGTTTTGTCTTCAAACGACCAAATATTGCGTCTATTTTTCCGTCTTTGCGTATTTCGTCTTTTGCATATTTTTCTATTTCATAATTAAGCACGAATCCACGCAACCTGAAATAACTGATAATATTTGTTAGATAATATAAAACCAATTCGTCTTATTTCAGTGATGATCACATATAAAAACATTTTCAACAATTTCCCCCTATGTGATCATTGATGAAATAAGGATAGATATAATCACATTAACAGTTTTAATCTTGAAGATTTGGGATAAAAGTTTTGTCAATGAGAAGATATATATAAAACCATTGTAATCGTTTTGAAAGTTTGTGACTTGGTTTAACATATCTTATGTAAAAGATTTTCAGAAATTTGTTTCCGAATCAAAGTCTCGGGTTCGGTTATCAAAGGGTAGTCATATATGTATCTAAAGAAATTTCCTTAGATTTTATAGCATTATTAATGACGACAAGTGGTCTAAGAGGTCGATTCAGATGAACGCTCATAGGTATAGCTCACACTTCACTTGGGTGTTTGGTTGTTCTGGCAGCAGAACAAGTTAATGATCACTAAAAATGAGTGATATCTCTCTTTGACGACTCACACTCATATTGGAGGTGTTCAGCTATGCTTTTCCTGTAAAGTCACTTAGTCTCATTATTAGATAATCAATCACATAAGACTGGTTTCGGCATTACTCAGCGGGTTTCTTCATTCATGCCATTAAAGTTCACTCTCTCTCGTCGGGAAATACATGTAGAGGGGTTTAGCAATTTTCATAGTGCAGTTTGCAACTAAGATTCTTCAGTGATGAAGGCTACAGTATCCCGAGAAATCCATTGTTGTTGCAGCTTCTTCTTTGATAGTATCATGTTTGTTGATCAATATCGATTTATTGTAAAAAGATATTTTGTTTTAGCATTGAGAATTTGCTACATTTGAGACCTTTTTAAGAGTATTTGACTTGAGTGATTGAGATATCTTCTTTTGTGAAAAATGGTTAAAACAAATCGCGGGATTTTATGATTTTTGTTTTGAAATAACCATTTGGTTGAAAGTTTGTTTGAAAATACCAAATATAGAATATTTTTTGTTTTGTTTGGTATATCTTTATTGAATCCATTTGTTTTCTTGTTGATTTGTCTTTGAGGATTAGATGTTGATAGATATTTGTTTTCCTTTGGTTTTCTTGTAAGGATATGTCGTTGTTTGCTTGATGGATCATGGGATCGCAAGTCTTCATTTTTGGTTGGCTTTTATCTAGGTAGGGATAGGTGGCATAAAAGACAGTTTGTCTAGTATGTAAGAAATGAATGTATCGTCCCTGGTCATTTTGATATCTAAGCAAAAATGAGACCGTGACAAGGTATAATTGGGTATACCTTATAAGCAATAGTGACACACCTAAGCTCACAAGAAATGAATTTCCACAATGATTTAGATCGACGAGGCACAAATTCTCACATGGGTTTTTGTTTTCATCTGAACCTCCTAACCTTATGTCCCTTGATTGTTTAAAATCGTCAATAATGAAATAAAATCGAAGGAAATAAAGTTATATACATTATGAAAAGTAGGATATTTGAACCTTCACTCCAATTGAGAATCAATATGACTTAAAATCTTCATCGAGCATAAGCATCTGAAAATTAAGTCAAGAGAAGATTAATCACAAGGTTCTATAAAAGCTTATTATGGCAAGTCTTTTATTAATTTTTTTGAAGATTTGTTTTTCTGAATGTTTTTGGAAATATTGGTTATTTGAATGTTTTTGGTATTTTTAAAGGAAAGCAATTTTCAATTGTTTTTGAATTTTCCTTTTGAATGAAAGTAAACACACTTTTGTACAAACAAAAAGTAAAAGTTTAAGGATAGATGTTATCTGGATTTAACATTCCTAGACGGCCTAGGAAGTATTGAAACTTTGTTTCATCGAGAGCCTTA